TACATATATATATATATATACAACGAACTCATAACGGAACTTCAAGGTCCGTTTCCACTGTAGGCTAAAATGGTCACACTTCCGCGAAATCTCGTTGATTTAGGAATGGATTGTGTGAGCTTATTAGTCGTTTTGGAATCAATAAACAATTCTCCTCACAAGCTATCCCATGCTCGCTTGATCTGCCTGATTAATCGTTTCCAAGTTTCCCGATGTCATGGACCTCGTCCACGGTTTACTAGTGAACGTCATGAACGTCAGTTCTTTGATTCATTTCTTAGTCGTGTACACCGGTAAACTGCACAGTCGGGATAGCTAACGTGGTGAAACTAACCTAAATTGTCCAGTATTTTTGCGGTTTTGGTTCGCCTGAATAAACGAGTTGTCTTCATCGTGAGGAGTGATCGATTGAACAAACAGGAACCTGAAGTTATTTGCCCATGTCACAGCATGGACAATCAGGATTTGCTCCCAGTTCAACTGTTTAATCTAAAAGTTAGGTTATAAAATCAGCCGATGTGCAGCTTTGAAGGACGTACCTCTGGGAGTCGTCGGTCGTAATTGGGACAAAACACGCACCAGTATTGGTACAGCAGGGAACTAGGCATGTGGTGTTTCTTTTGAAATACCAAATAAGCACAAAACTATGGAAAAATCTCTATCGCTGCTCGATGCGAGACTTCGTGTTCTTTCAAGCACTGAGCATAATACGAGCGAACTAGCTGTTGTAGGTCAGCTGAAGCGTATTGTGCGTACAGACAGAAAAGCCTGAAAGAACCAAACGGCTAGGAATGCCATGAAACTTTGTCACCCAATACGCAAAACGGCACTAAAAAAACAACTCCGAGTGAGGTCAGGGAGGATAGTGTAACATGCACCAAGAACCGCACTGTCTTTACCGCAAGACTGGATATTTTGACCGTCTGTCTCTGTACCTACTTCATTCATTCGATGCCCTCAACTCTAATCGTGCTCTATGAGCATAAGACCTCCCTCAGTTTCCGAAGCACTAATATGCCTTCACGCCTTGAAACGACATCAGGTCGCAGGGCTGGGTGAGCTTCCACAAGCGTTGCTCGAAGACGGTGGTGATTCTTTGTGTTTCGCCTTGACTGGTTTTTGTGTGGCCTAATTTGGGGACAATATTGTGTTCCAGCAACCTGCGATCGATCAGTCATTGAGTCTTTAAGGTATCCGATGCGATGGCTCCAAGCGCAGGGGTACCCCTGTTGTTATGCGTCTGTTAGGCTCACTAATACCGCGATATCCGACCCCATCACAAGAGACGCAGGTTTGAGAGCTCCAGGACAGTGGGGTGTCTTGACCACATCTTCACATTGTGTCAAGTACTTGAGCAGCGCCAGACATACCGCCGACCGGCCGTGGTGTTTTCCCGACTTCAAAGGAGTTTTGGCTTTTCCACATATAATTAACCAACGAGAACTACAATCGGACGTCGTGAATCTTTTTTATTTCAGTCTTGGTCACATTAAGCTACCCAAAAGTTCTTCTACAGTTTTTCATCAAAGAATTCTTCTATCTGCATTAATCAGATTTGTCATGAATCATGAGTCTTATCTCCAACGTACCACGAATGCGAGTGTATGAATCACATCTGGAGTAGATGGGTAGAATTAGTTTTTGCGAATGAGGTTCCGTTATTTGAGGTCGTGCACAGACTGCTCTAGATAGAATGTTGACTGTTTTCCCATTCAGTTTCATTATGCAGTTTAAACCTTCAAAGCACAGGGTCTTAACTCAGTAATCGGCACCTCAGTGTACCATTTTGATGATGGGGAGCTTGGTTTTGTGGTTTGGTCTATTTACATTGACAGCTGCATAATGTGGTAAGGTTTTCACTTCTTACGCGCGCCCGATTTGAAGCTCAGCTGTTTTTGTCACTGTTTTTGGAAGGTGCAGGTACCTCGCCCTTGGCCATCTTCGCTAGGGACATAAGGCTTTTTACAGTAAGTCCCTAGTCCTCCTCTTTTGTCTAGCCTCTTACTAGGACCTTTTCCTGGATGGCTTTGTGGTGGTTGGGATCTAGTCTCCCTTACTGGCATGTTGCCGTCTTCGAGGATGATGATGATGTTGCTATCGACCTACCCAAATCTCGCAGATGCTTGAAATTCCATCAACCGCTGCCTTCATTCAACAAGGAATCTACGTTTACTATTAGTCTGAGAGTATGGCCTTCCTTTAATTAGGGTTACTGAAAAGTTAATCGTGTGATACCGGTTTATCATTCGTTTCATGAACTTTTTAATCGAATTGGATCAGCAGTGGTCGGTTCTTTTGCCTTTCTGTTTCAGCTTGTAGAAGGAGCTCCGTACGTTACCACACTAGAGACATTGAGGAAGCACTCTTGCGATTTCGCCGCTCATGGTGGTGAGTCTCTGTAAAGCCGTCGAATTGTTACATGCCTTTTGTGAGCATTCCGCGAGGGAACTGTCTTGTGGTTGCCAACTTGACTCTGCTGAGATCTGTTTTGCGGATCGTGCGGCTTGATGACCAACAGGAGATGCCAATTGTTAACTCTTCAGTTTATGGGTCGCCAGTACTAATCCCTTAGCAGCTAGTTTTTCGAAAACCCCAGCTCCTCAGTCGTTCACTATAATGTACACAATGCTGACAAAGCCGGTGGGTTCAGAAATGCGCTATGAGTCTAGGTATGTATCTACGTGATTCAAAGCCTGGAAATTCAAGAAAAGAACATTAGGCAGGCATATAGTTGAATATCACGCCATTTCGACAAGCCTTTTCGTCTACTTGGTTAATCCCAGTCAGACCGAAAGGCCTCATATGGTTCAGCTTTCTAGGACCCGACCACATCTCCTGAATGTGATCAAATGACGAGTTTCGTTGCTCAGTTGTTCGCCCCAGTCAGACCGAAAGGCCTCATATGGTTCAGCTTTCTAGGACCCGACCACATCTCCTGAATGTGATCAAATGACCAGTTTCGTTGCTCAGTTGTTCGCGAAGTTCGACGATTGTTCAGGCGAAATAACCTGACTGTTGTGCGGTTACCAGGTTGCCCAGATGTGTAAGTATTCAATCAACTTGGGCACCTAATTAAAAACCTTATAGTTAATCGTCTATCGATGTTCACTGATTACCAGGTGCTATTTTAGAGTATTTCCATGGCGACACTGTGTATTCCTCCACTTTTTAGAAGATCCACCCTTCTTGAATTCTATGATGGTTATCTACATTGGTGAGAGTACTCGACTCCCGTAATGTTTTAAAGACCTGTCTTCATCTACCTACTTTTTATCATTGAGTGGCCAGTTATGGTTGATTATGTGTTGGGATCCATATCTGGGAGATGTGCATGTAATCTGGAGGAACATCATTGTTCCCTCGTTTTCGACCCCTGCCATACTATGGGAATGTTTTACTTCACGTCGTTTCATCGTTTTTCCCCCAGATGACGTCACGTTCACATCCGATGGTTCTGATCCGTATCACATGGTCAAGGTAGCTGGATGTTATAAGTAAGCCTCACTGACCTTCCCGTTGGTTCTTTGTACACTAAGTCGTTAACCTTTTTATGCGTTGCTGCCATAAAGCTCGAAAGAAGCGCAGAATCGTTCAACTGTAGCACCCTTTCGGTGCCTAACTGCCATGCCACCCGAAGGTTGCCCGAGCCTAGACAGGGGAACCCGAGAGGCAGAGGAAGAGACGCAGAGAATCATACATTTTCAGGCTGCTCAAGCCTAAACAACTCTCCCGAATTACTGGAGTCAGCACTGTCTACGTTTCTCTTTCGCTACTGATTAGATTCTTTGTGGAAGAACTTTCACCTTCTGAATCATTTCGATCCGTCGACTATATCTTGCAACCGACACTTGTGTAACTCTGTGTCTTCAATCCGCCGAACACCATTGCCGCGACCGTGGTCAAGCAAATGATAATCACATTTGAGGGTTTCTCACTCTGTTATTGTTAGTTACCCCACCCAAGACTACGCTGTACAGCCTGTGGCAAGTCAAGGTGGTTGTCCGAATAATTGTTCGAAATCAGTCTTCACTCGAGCAGCTGGTTAATTCCAAACGTGAGCTGCGCTGTGGAAGTGTAAGTAGTGAGGCATCTCGTCTAGATACCAATTAATCACACGGCTGATCAACTGCCTTTGTTCATCCCCCACTTTCGAAACCTTCTAGTACGCGTCTTCTTCGTCGGATACGCGACGGTGGTAATTCCTAACGGTGATGAAACAGCTATCCACCGCTCCTTGGCTTTCCAGCGTGGCATGATTCCACTTGAAGGATGGAATCTAGACTTCACGGTCTACAAAACACACTGTAGATATTACTATAAGTTAGTTTCAAGAAACTCAGAACCGGGTACGGACAATCGAGAATTTGAGGACTAGACTCTACTCTGGACTTCTCCGGCCAGATGCTATCCCCCCAAGTTCCACCGTTAACATCAGAAAAACCATTGGTCAGTCAACAATACATCAGTTGTAAGCAATGGTGTCTAAGTGCCGAATGGAAAGAAGTGGAGGGCGAAAAATCTTGTCTTCAGGAACGGTGCCCGTTTCTTTAAACAGAGATAAGGTAAGCACACCTGAGCAATATTGCCCCAGCGCTCTTTGCGAAACTTACCCAATAAGAGTCTGGCGTACAGCGACCGACTAAGGTTAGCTAGCCAATCCGGTTAGAAAGTGACAGCATGCTCGCTACTGGGAGCTGTTACGTTCTGTGTTATGTAGAGCTTCCAACGACGCACAAGCAGAATCACATGGACCCTGTAGCACCCATTTCGATCGCACTGCTTAATTCCCAGTTTTCGTATCATGAGCTGCCTTCCGTGAACTTTTCGCCAGTAAGGATTTGGAACGTGACTACATGCCCCCAAAAGGGGACCGATGTTCTCAAATTCCTGATAGTGTTCATTCTTTCTTGGTTAAATTTTATTCATTTGGTGTGATTGAAACATTACCTCAGACTGAACGGTACATGCATGGTCTAGTACTTTTCCAGTGACTTTCTACTGACGTGCTGAAGCCGGAATTAAATTTTGCTACTCACTCGACTCTACGTTATCTCCCTTTTCTAGAGAGTTCAAAAGAACAGAAGGAATCTCTACAACTGAATTACTTTCGAGGTGAGTTTTGGAGTTTCTAACTGACGTACCACCGCAATATCCTTCACTGATGTTTATTCCCACTGTAGCAGTCCTGTCCAACCATGTTGAGAACAGAGAGAATCGGAGATACGGTGGCCCAGTTAGCGGAATGCAGTGAAGGAATAGTGATTTCTCGTAGAACTATCCTGCTTTTCAGTGGGGCCGCCATGCACAGAAGACCAATAGTCTTAATGTAGAATTTGTATTGGTTACATCATCCATCATCAGCTGTACTAACCGCGTGATTGTCGTACAGTGGTTGTAGCTGCCACAGTTTCGTTCACCATCTTGAGTTGATAGCCTTGGAGTTCTGGGCCTGTTAAACCTGACTTGGGGAAAAGGTCTTTGCGGAATAGGCATTTTCTTGACGAACCATCATCCTCACGGATAGCACGACGTCAGTGTTCGGTGCCCAGCTGCCATGCCACCCGAAGGAACCACCAGAGCTGAAATACTACCAGGTCGCTCAAGGCTGCACGAGGGCTGGGATACTTTTAGATTGCCCAAGCCTAGACAGGGGAAGTCTAGAGGCAGGGGTCGGGTTCGAACCACGGGCATTCCGGTCAGTGAATGTCTGACTTCCTCCTCATTCGATACTCATTAGCATTCATCTGTGAATTTGAGGGGTGGGCGCGCCTTCATACTTCATTCTCTGACCATCTCAGATTGCTTCTTTTCCATTTTTCGCTTTCTCCATACTGTACTTTTGTCCGATGACTGCCATTCCACTCTTTTCACTGTTGGGGACAGCGTTTTTATTTTGAAGGTTAGCATTTGCCACACTACTCCGGCTAAGAGGTGAGATGGACAAAGTAGTTAGAGCGCGAATTTACTGACCGGAAGGTCCGTGGTTCGAAACCGACCTCTGCCTTTCGACTTCCCCTGTCTAGGCTTGGGCGACCTGGCAGTATCCCAGCCCTCGTGTTTCCTTCGGGTAGCATGGCAGCTAAGCACCGGATGTGTATTACAGCTGAACGATTTTTGTTAAGGGAGCAGTATTTAACATACTTGGATGAGCATGGTGTAAATGAACAGGAAATTGAATGAATGATGATATTGGCTAACCCGGTGGCTGATTGCCGGCCACCGTACTCACGGTAGAGGAGAAGCAAACAGCATTTATCAGTGGTGTCCTTGTTCTTCGCACCACACGGTCTTGATGGTCTCGTTTATGCTAGGTACAATATACAATTTTCTGTTTTGACCTCAATATCTGCAATATCGCCTTGCGCTTTCTGTGGCCTGTGACAAGGCCGGATGTAAGTGCCAAATGAAACTTCAAGCTATCCATAAGTGGGCTGCCGCCTTAGATATGGGGCGAGATGGCCCATGTGGTTGGAGCGCGATTTTGTTGGCCAGAAGGTCCGTGGTTCGAACCCGATCTCTGCCTCTCAGCTACACCTGTCCAAGCTTGGGCAACCTGGCAGTATCCCAGCCCTCGTGCAACCTTCGGGTCGCATGGCAGTTAGGACCGAAAGGGTGCGACAGCTGAATGGTTTTTGGCAGTGGTTGGAGAAAGAACAAACTATGCTGCACTCGGATGTCACTACTAAATAAAGACATCGAATATACGCCACATCACGAAATACTACGCGAGGACAGTGTGTTGTGGTTTGTACCGTAAAAACCCTTTTTGGGATTCTCTCCCCCCCCGTATGTCTCGGATTTTTAGATCGTGACCCTCGTGAAAAATGAGGGATCACCGTAGTGGCTGTGGATCGTTATAGTTTGAACTTCGTAAGATTTAGGGCTCCACATTTCGCGATCCGTTCAGCTACAATCGATAACAACAATCGTTCAGCTGTAGCACACTTTCAATGCCTAGCTGCCATGCCACCCGAAGGAAGCACGAGAGCTGGGTTACTGCCAGGTTGCCCAAGCATAGACAGGGGAAGTCGCGAGGCGGAAGTCGGGTTCAAACCACGGATCTTCCGGTTAGTAAATTCGTGCTCTAATCACTTGAGCCGTCTCGCCCAAGCTGTATCATCCTTTCTATGTCTAGCTGCACGAGGGCTGGGATACTGCCAGGCTGCCCAAGTCAAGAACAGGGGAAGTCGAAAGGCAGGAGTAGGGTTCGGACTACTGAGCCGTCTCGTCCGTATTAATATACATAGTAATGTGGGGGAGGGTGATCTGTTAGGGCATTCGTCAGTTGTCGAAGCCACAAGAAAGGGGCAGGAAAGCTCACCCTTTTATGGTCTTTATGTCCGCTTGTCCATTTTCCGTCTTCGGCATTCACTACTCCTTTAAGTCTCTTGTTCTGTTTCATCCACCTCTTGCAGAATATTGAAACGGATGGAATCACTGGAGGAAAACCAAGTGCATTCGGGGTCTCCACACAGAGTGAAGCCCCTGCGGCGCTCGCGGTCTGTTGATTCATTCCTGGTCACCAGCTTGGCCTCTCTTCAGGTGCGTTGTTTTTCCTTCGACACTGCTGTTTCACTTCATTCACTGTGTTCGTACCACTGTGCATCACCCCGTCCTAATGTGGGCGATCATTTGGCACCGCACAATGAATGGGCGCCGTAAATTTATACACTGAAAACCAAAAGCTGTAAATTTTCAACGCCTGTATACACAAAAGAGCAAACACTGTAATAGGCGCTTTGGGCTCTGTATATTATTAGTTATTATTATTATTAGTTATACTCGCTATATCGTCACCTGCCTTCTGCAACCAGTAAGCCTCCGAAAATCGGTTTTACATCACCTTCTTCGGTCACGCTGGGACCACCTTCCAATGTCGAATCATTTGTTCTGTAATGCTTCAGTGTACACGGTCTTCTCCACAGGACAGACCACAGTAGAGCGAGTTCGCTGCTCTCGGGATTCCGCAACAGTGCCCTACGATGGCCGCAACCTGATACTTCGGTTCTGGAAAGTTAAATCAAATCTTTCTTTCATCGTCGTGATCACTGTTCACGGGGAACAACTTATTCAAATTCTTGTGGCGCTGATACCGCTTACGTCCTTTCTGAGGTGGTGCCTCTGCTTTAGTGGTCAGAAGCCCTGATTCCCTCGAGGGCATTGGATACTTCGAATTTGATGCACCGTTGAACACAACTGGACCATTTTCATTTGAAACCGGAGGTGCCGGTAAGGTAAGCGGATCAAAGGCGGCTGCACTCAGTCCACTTAACCGGATGGACACAATCCCGGACTCCTTTTAGACAACCTAGGTTTGTTTCCACCGTATGGCCGCCGGCGTCCGTCTTGCAGCATATATGTTTCATCAGTAAAAGCACAATGGATGACTTCCTTAAAAAATGGAAGAATATAGGTACTATAGTGCCTTAACTCGAAGTCATCCCAAATAATGATCCCAAAGTCATCATCATCATCGACGGCATGACATCAGTGTTCAGCACCGATGCTTCCCTGCTTCACTTCAACCATGATTTATTTGAAAGCCTTAGTGTAAAGAAAAGAATAAAGGTGGACGGAGAAGGGATTTAGTGCCACTGACATCTGTTGGCAGCCGTTGCACAACCGAAAACGCCCTTTCTAATTGCCTCATCACGGGATTTGCCGACTACAACCCACACGAATTATGGTTCTGAGGTAACGATGGTCGGATGCCTGAATACGTCTCGGTTCCGCTGCTCGAATAGGCCAAGTCTCACAACCATACAACAAAACAGCCAGCACTGGCTTGATACACACGTCCCTTGAAATTCAGGGATAAACCATTCTGACGCCACAGGTGTCTCAAGTTAGCAAACGCGGTCCGAGCCTTGCAGATTCGTGCATTCACCTCATCTTTCACACTACAATCTAAAACGCTCCACAACTTCCAGTACCTCTCCCTGGATTGTGAGGGGCGTGTTCAGTGACTGTACGTCTACAAGCATGACCTTACACTTTGTGGGTGCAAAGTGCATAGCAAAGGACTTTGGTCAGTTCATCCGAACAGACCTGCGCCTTCTCCTCCTCTTCGAAGATGAGAATGATGTCGTCTGAGTACTCCAGATCGACAGGCTATTCGAACACCAGGGTTTTGGAGACGATCCAGCGCTCGTCTCATTAGTTCATCGATCGCAAAGTCAAACAGGAATGAGGAGAGTGGGCATCCCTGACGGACACCGTTTTGTGTACGGAAGCTTTTGGAGAGCTCTCCGTACACTCTCACACGTCCGGAAGTCTGAGAATACAGAGAACGTATTATGTTTACAAACTTCCGGGGCATTCCTTGGTGGGCAAGCGTCTCAAGAAGAACAGACCGATCAACCGCGTCGAATGCGCCTCGGAAATCCAGGAATACTAGAATTGTGGGTCGCCTATACGTATGGCGTTGTTCTCGCACCTGACGCAGTGTGAAGATTTGGTCAAATGACCCCAAAACCTATGTGTTGGGCTACAGAATATGACCTATCTGGTGCGCGTAGAAGTACGTTTTCCTCTACAATGTTATTTTGGGGCTATTCCTCCGTTTTTTGTTTTGCGCGGGCATTATTGACACTTGGAGCCAAACGTTTCGACTGAATTTGTTTGCCCTCTCTCATTATTTTCCCCAAACAAACGAAGAGTGACATCATAAGGTAAGGGTAAACTGTATTGTCTTTAACCTAGGCAACAATTGACTCTTTGTCAGAAAAATGCCATCTTTCAACTAAGGAAACTTTGTTGCAATTCTCGAGGCAACATGGTACGAAATATGTAACGGTTCTGGAAATTTCCAAGACATTTCCTCCTCGGTTTATCACACTCCCGAAGAAGAAACTTTCTACCCTAAAGTCACTGCTTTCTCTGCTCGTCCCGCAAACTGTGAAATAATCAGGATATGACGAACTCTTCTGGAAGAGGTCAGAGGACTTTGTCAATTTCAGCCCCGCCAACCCCTGAAACAAAGTAACAGTATTAGTATCGATCAAGATGTGTGAACACTTTGGCGTACCCCGAACGAGGACTCTAACCGCATGCATATAGGCCCTACTCCATTTGTAACGCGACTTCTAGGTCCAATAATACGTGTGACTTCATCACGTGGGATGCAATTCCGAGATTACCACGCAGGATTTCGATCAATCTTCTTCACGTTGTTTCCAGTGCTTGAGAAGCGCCATGCATACCGCCAACCAACCGTGGCGATTCCCGTAAACTGCGATAGAGCCTTTTAATCCGTGAACGAGTTGGTTGTTCCGCCTATATTTGACCACAATTGTAAATATGGTCGGTGCTTGTGAATATTATTCGTCCCAGTTGTTCCCATAGATCAGGTCGCGTTATGACCTACAATGAGCTATCCAAAATGTGCCCCTCAACTAGTGGGTTTTGTCTCGCATATCACCTGTCCGATGTTCTCCACCTGGTTAAGGCGCTGCTGTTATATAATCTCCCTGTAGACACCTGGATCCGGTTTCATTCTTTTATCCGCTTTGGCCTGCGTCAAACGAAGAACACCGGCTGGCTAACCAAAATCCACCCACGATGCCAGTACAGTTGGTGTCCTTTTTTGCCATTGACTTCGTTAGCTGTAGCGACATTAGTGTACAGTTGGTGTCCTTTTTTGCCATTGACTCCGTTAGCTGTGGCGACATTAGTGTTTCGACGCTCGAATAAGTAGCTGGTACCTTTGTCTTCCACTGTCGAACGTCCTTCCACGCGCACACTCATGGTGAGGTGACCATCATAGGTACGCCATCTGCTGCTAACAGGGCGGTTGATTCTTGTCTTGTATAAATGCACCAGCCCAGATACGTAAAATGTGGTTTGCGCATTGACGATGTCCACTGATTCTGACTTAAATGTCATTAGATGACAGCAAGATGTAGGCGTTCTTTCTAAGGACTGGAGCAATTCGCAACTTTGAAGCGCGAGTATTTCATGACAAGAGCATCAGGCTATCTGTGAATACAAGTCGAAGGTGCTCCAGAGTAAATGGTTCTAGCTGCACTCATAAAAATAGTTCGCTTTCAATTGACTTGGACGAGGCTCTTAAGATGGAATTAGCCCGCAGAATTTGTTTCTTGGTACCAAGTTAGCGCGTCAATGAAGACATAGGGTTTCTCTTTGCCAGTCTCAAAGTTGACGTTTCGTTAGTGAACATTTTTTTGCGTGCCTTTCATACGAATGCAACATCTGTTGTCTCTTGCTCGACTGTTGAGGCTTGACAAAAATCTCTAAAATCGGACGCAAAGGAGCGTTTATTACACTTCTATCTATCACCCCGTCCCACAGGAATCGTACATCTCCTGTGTTCATCCCTAACAATTTTCTCACGAGATCATTGAGAATTCGTAATTAATAATTATTAATTATTTAATTGGTAACTAATAAATGAACATGTGCAAAAGCGTTTTTTACACTCATGTCCATTACATACTGTACGAAGCGGAAGATGTTCCTAAACTTAATTCGTGAGTTTTGTTGGATCAAGTATACTCACGTCCATCCGACTAGATGGTGTTGCGCTTTGTTAACCAAAGGTAACTTGAAACGCAGCTAGCTCTCTTGAGCCGTATGCTGCGCCCGTAGGTCCATGTTTGCTTGAGAACATGATACACAAAGTTGTTTACCATATTTTGGTTTCACCTTGTTCTCAACTGATCCTCTATGGATGCCTTCTTTTTGGCTTACAATTCTGTTGACAATCGTGGCAATATAAAAATTGTGCGATGCGTTAATCAACGTCCAAAATGACACCATCCTTCAGCATTTCATCGTCTTTATGTCCTTCAACTTTCTATTGTACTTTACCGTTTCGACTAGTCAAATTTTGGGTTAAGTCGAAGTAGTCGTGTTGCTTCTAATCGCGCTTTGTTTTCATCTATTACCCTTTCTAGAACCAGACGACCCCCTCGGAAACGAATCAAAACCATGCTGCAGTGACTACTGCTGAATCCCCGACCCAGTCAGATTTTGGCTGGACTAACTGTGGTATACCGTATATGCCGAACACCCTGCGAATCACACAGTTCTCGATGGGCAGTCTGGACTCGTACGGACTGCGCGAGCCTGGACCAGACGATGTTGTTGTCTACGCTCCCGGTGCATTCGATTTGTTTCGTATCCTTTTGCTGTCAGGCAGGCTAGTTTTCGCCTAGTTATTCCCTTGCCAGCTTGCTCGAGGTTATTTGGATCGTGGCGTGTTTGAGTATTTGGGATTTTTGCTTCTTCACTGGATGTCAAGTTTCTCACACTAAGCATCACAATCTAGTGATGCACCGGCTGACGAGCTTCAAGCTCCTTGCGACGCGGAATCCAGTGTGGTGAAATGTGATGCCACGGAAGACTTCGCTCAAGCACAGCCTATGAGACTTGCAGCAAAGCCCATCACACTGTCCTTCGAACTGTAGGGTTCAATGTCCGATGCCTGTTGGAACGGGGCCGAACCTTGACATGTGATGGGTTTATTAGCAGAATGCGAGTCCTCGGAACATTAAGATTAAGAGTGTCAAGTTGTGGCTGGGTTTTACCACAGGACGCTACCACCTCGCAACGAGAAAATAGTATCTGTTACCGCAGCCCAGCCTCTGACCTTACATTAGTCCGCTGTTGATGGTACGCAACCTCGTGTGCGGCTGCCTAGTTTTGCCCCTTGCTATCACCAGGATAGGTGACTTTTGAGGATGGAAGTTGGGGATATAGCAGAGGCAGCTGGTCTGAACAGTGGCGTCGCTAGTTAACGACCTTGACGAATCATCAAGGTTCGAACGAAGGCACTCGGAATAGGCCCTGTTGGGCCGAATTCAGCCGCCTCGAAGGAGACTCTGGTCGGAATGAGTAACCTACTGACTGACCTCAGTGGTTGTGGTCGGACGATGGGAGTGAGGATGCTCAGTTATCTTTATGATAAATCTGCGAGAGTCGCTGGACCGGTTCCGGTACCGGACTAGTTTGCCTATAGTGTACCACCAGCGCTTGTCAAGTCATACCCGACAGCCTGGACTACGAATAGGTGACGCAAAGATATAGCCCGTTCGGAAGGCTGATACTGCTGAGCCACAAAGCTGTTAGACCACAGTCGGTGAAGCTAGCGATGACCAAGGCTCTCAAATTGATTGGAGTGAGAACCAAACGACTGATTGACTGTAAAACTGGAAACTCAGTGCAAAGAAGCGCGAAACGTGGTGTCCAACGGGAATCTGGACGACTGTTATATTTGCAGCGAAAAGGCTTCACACTAAGAAAGGTTGTGGATGTCTTGCTGAACGGAAGCGTTGCCGCCAGCAGAGAGGGAAAAAAGAAGCCAGAGTAATACTTTCATTTGCAAATCAATTTGGCTTTTACAAGAGACTCAACTGAATCTCTCATTTATGATATTCTACAACTGAATGTGCTGCACACAGTCCGCCTCATGATTCATTTGGCACGATATTTGAGATATCGCAGAATATCATAAACGAGAGATTCGGTTGAGTCTCTCGTGAAAACCAAATTGATTTGCAAATAGGCGTATTTCTCGAAAACATTCCAATTTGGGTTCAAGTAGAACATAAGGTTGACGGAAACTCGGGGACTGTGCCTACCTGATGGGCCCCAAGAAGGGCGAAACCGGTGGTGGGTTATCGAAGAGTTTTCAGCAACTTTGTGAGTAGTTTCCTTTATGAAAAAAATACCAGAATATTCTGAAGCACAGGGAAAGCGTTGATGTTAAACGAATGTGGAGGTTAGATGACCGTAAGTTGTTCTGTGTGTTATATTGGTCAGGGACGAGAGGCGATGTGGTGAAGTACATCCTAACCAAATGATGGAAGGGGATACAACAGAAGCAAATCACTCACCGAGCCTATCGTAGACTGTTGGTGCAAATTGTAAGTAGTACGATCGATGTGCCGTTTGGAACAACACTCGCAGTTGATCGGTCGTGACTCTTGAGTTTATTGATTGATTCCGTCGTACATTCCTTCTTACACTTCAGAGGTTTATTACGAACCGCTCAGAAAAGTTCGTTCAGGTACATTAAGTTTCCGAAATATGATTCACGTAGTCGTTAGTCGCGCCCAGTCTGTTCGTTTATGCAAATCCATGTATGGATGCCCTTCTTATGATGACATGTAGTGATAGTCATAATCGTTCAATCATTTTTCGATGCATAACTTCAATGCCACCTGAAGAAAGCACGAGGACTGAGGTACTGGCAAGTGGCCAAAGCCCGGACAGGAGCACTGGAGGTACCGATTTTGGGTTCGAACTTGCGGCCACTAAGTTCATACCTTAAACATTGAGCTGTTTCAAGCTCAGCGAAGCCTTGTAGTTACTGGCTTGTCTATCAACATGATCACGTGACCACCCCAGAAACATACTCCACTTTTCAGTATAGTTACCCGATCTCTAATATGGTGTTGTACTATCCATACTTGCCTATTTCCGATGCCACGCGTGGGTCTAGATATTGGCCACTTGTCGTTTCTGGAGAAGTGTCTGGATCTGGGCAACTACATACTGATTGGTTTGCATTCAGACTCCGTACGTCAATATCCGTTTTTTTGCGTTTGTTTCCTTGTCTATGTTTCTCATCAACCGAAATCAGTCACTGACGGCAGCACCAAACGAGAACACTGGTGCTTCCACGCAGTACTCAAACAGTTCCTATTAATGGAAAGTGGACAGAAATGGGGCACGGAGCGGGACCTACGACACAAACTCCGAGGTGACCACACCTCCAATACTCAACCAGATAACCTGGATCTTGAATCCTCGTTTCAGAGAGACAGTACACCAATAGAAAACGAGTCCAGCCTATGTGCTACAGCAGTCTGCTGTCGAGCTTGTTTCATACCCCGAACATTAAAGGCTACCAAATGAACTGAGCATCGAGGGTTGAAGAATGATTTCGAAGTGTCTGTGGCTGTGGTGGCCGAGACAATCGTAGATATTGCAATGAGCGGCGAATGTGTGTGTCAGTTCTTAGGAATGGGCCTACGGAGATGCTGCTAGCTACGGGATGTGGATGGGGGAAAGGAGGAAGTGTGTGAGGTAGAAGGGAGGCGTTAGCAGTAGTTAGGCACTCTTTCGGTGCCTAACTGCCATACCGTCAGAAGGAAGCACGAGGACTGAGATACTGCCAGGTTACCCAAGCATAGACAGGGGAAGTCGAGAGACAAAGGTCGGGTTCGAACCACAGACCTTCCGGTCAGTAAATTCGCACTGTAACCACTGAGCCATCTCGCCCCGGTCGATGTTGCCACGCAACTGCCGGTGTCGCATGAGATTATTTGTAAGTGTGGAATTTGTGGTCGTCAGTGCGCTTAAAACTGGACCTTTGGTTCAAAAGCCCAACCGCGAGGCAGCGGTTGGCTAACAACGTCCCGCTGGTCCATACTCTGGGTTTATTGCAATGAAACTGCTGCAGCTTGCGAAAGATTGACACGAATCAGCTATTGTTTTTCGTCACTGGGTGTATTTCCACTTGAACGGTTTGTCGTTCAACCTCATCGAAAGCCCCACGTCTGCGGGGGATGTCACCCCGCCGAACTTTCCAGTCATGGTGATCATTCTAGCTGTAGTATACCGTCTGTCTTGTTCTCATTTGCTGGTTGCAGTATCCGATGACTTCATAAGATCACATGTGACCCCTTTGTACCGGTTGGATTACATTAAGTAAAAAGAGACAGCAACCTCATTATAACTCGCTTGGATAGGTTCCATTTTCATGCAATTTACCGTTCATTCATCCATTCGTGTATGGAGGCCAGATGTTTCCTCCTCTCCGAAGTCGATAATTATACCTAACTCCTGTGTGGTTCTGTGTACTGCTGGAAGTAGGAAATCTACAAGACGGTCGAACCTGTCACAACGAATGGAATGTGTATTCACTTTGGTCTACCCGTGGTCGGTATTCTGCAAAGTGGCGAACTCGTTCACGCATCCACTCTTCGATTCACACTTTTATGGACTTTTCAAGGAAGGCTTACCCCATGTGAAAATGTGCGGTTCGTAATTTTCCGATGTGTGTAGGTGTGTGTGTCTGTGTGTGGAGATGCAACACATGCCACGCAACACTGACGCTGGCCTAATCAGTTCAAGCGCTATTGACATGGTCATTTCGTGTGAATGCTCGTGCGAGGACATTGTTTAATTATTACACTTGAGAGAGAGAGAGAGAATTCCTGTCAGATGGTTGACGTGTTGTGACTTGTCAAAACAAAAGTGGTCCCATGCGTTCTGCGGTGTGAACTATTTTGACGTAAGCACAGTAGTATCATGCCATTTTGGTGTGAATATTTTCAACCTTGAGTTTGGTGCAACACTTTAGTGACTTGACTGCACAGTATCAGAACTCACATCATATGAAGGTTTTTTTGAGGTGCTGAACTGGTTTTAAGACAGTCACAATTTCTAAATAACTTTTTGAGCGAACAGCCCTTACGGTGTGACTAACGTGGACGATTCTCACGTATGTTGCCTGCCCCACATAGATCTCAGGCTCGGAAAGGCGTTATACCTCTGCCTTTAGAGTATGAGCTATCATTTGCTGATTTCGGTGGGTTGGACTAAAACAGTCCAGGCATTCTTCGAGGCCCATGTGGAAAGTTGTGTTAAGTTTCCGGTGGGAACAGGACCCGGAGATTCGCGGTTCGGAACCCCCACCTTCAGTCGCTCGTGAGGTTTTCTTCAGAGCCTAACTGTTTCAATTTTTACAGTATTTTCCAATTCACCGTTGTGGGAGACACACTGTATAGCATGCCGGTTAGGCTTTACATTCTTTTCGGAGTATAAGGACTACTTCATTAGGTAAAGCAGGCCGGCTTTTGATATCCGTGCGTTGGAACTTTGCCTCTGTTCGTTCATGAGATCACTGAAGACGAATTGTCATTATAACTTAGATTGACACGAGTTGGGGACATAGGTCTCAAGTGCTACGTACGATCTGAAATCCGACCAAGTAATGTGACATAGTTGTTACATGTTGAGAATAGTAGATGTCACTTCCTGACTTTTGGTCTTTTCCTATGGCAAAACTAGGATGTTCTCCTAGCAGCAACCAGCTGTACGACTTATGGTCGTAGATAAGCGACTCTGTTGAATGGAAAACTGTTCGGTTTTTCTCCCAAGAATGATCCGAAGACCATGTCTTGGTTACAAACGTCATTGGTTTTCAGTTGGATCAGTTCTCTGCGGCTATTATCAGGTGCGATTACCTTGAACAGATCAAACAGAGAATATTCAGCAACCTTGTAAGTAGTTTCCTTTATGAAAGAGAATTTTCATCTTTTCTAAACTACACTGACTACGCTCAGAAGGCAATTCTCACAGAAGAAGACGGTTCACCTTGATCCAAATTTTTCCTATTACCTCCCCTCGATAGAAATACGGTGGATTTCTTTTTCGTTGTCCACTTTGTACTACCGTGACTGGCATCGTTTGAGTAGACAGACCAACTGGGTCTCGCGAAAGCATTAGATCGATAGGTGACTCTCATTTGAACTAGTTTCAACAAGTCGCACCAACCCAGTACCCACCGGCACTCAGACTCTCTGCGCTGTCCATATATCCCTGTTCTTAGAGTAGGGCCTGACCAAATTCGAATGAACCTCATACGGATTTCAGTATTCAGGGAACAGCCTCAGCTTAAGCCTTGTTCCGAGTTGCAAACCAACACAAACCGCGTTAATCGAGTGAATGTTGCTGGGTACTAATCGGTAGACTTACTAATTCGTAAATAACTTGACCTTCTTGCGCTGTAATCTGCACAATGCGGGATGATGACTGTGGACTCGAAGGTGAAGTAGACTTTACGACAGAAATGTATCTTTTCCAGAAAAGCCCCACCACCCAAAAAAGATTAGAAAAAAGAGGATGTGAAATTTGCACTTTTGGTTTTTATTGAAGAGGGTGAAAATCGGGATGTCATTAATAATTTGCATGAAAAGGTCCGTTTTTCGGTACCTTTGCCTCCAAACGAACTCACACAAGTAGCCGTCCACTAAAGATCGGTGTGTGCCGCATTGGCGTCTATTCTGCATCTTGTAGACGTGCCCTGCGTGGTTTTTACAGTGAGATATTGGCGTTCAATCGATCTCGACGTGTAGACCTGGGCCGCCGATAACTGTTGGAGTCTGCAAGAGCCGCTAGGCGCAAACTCCGTGAAGAAAGTTCTTCCAGTCAACAGTGGTCGTGTGGCTAACAGATAATTCCTCTGAGCAGAATTTGATTTCTGCCAAATTTTTCGACAGCGGTATATGAATAGAATCACTGTTCCAGCTCCAGCCAAGGGTCAGGTGCCCCTTAGAAGACCGATTTCCTGCCGACACTGTCGAGCAATACACCTCCACCTGTCAGAAACAGTTGAAAGTGTCCGAGTGTGAAAGGTGGCCATTGTTGCATCAACGTTGCTTATGGATCACTCTGTGGCTTTGCAAAAAAACGTATTGCCGTCTCCCTGTCATGAACGAGAGTTGAAAGCGTCAAAAAGTTTATTTAAGGTTTTACCTCCAAACGGAGAAAAATTTTACACAAAGGATGAGCCCAGATGCGGATAAGGAATTGTTTTCTTCAAAAATAGGTCAATGTTTGTGCGTACTTTGAATTGGAGCTGGCAAAAGTGGCGAGGTTTATCTGGAAAAGATCCAACAGAAACTAGTGCCATTCCGTACGTGAGGCTCTTCGTCTTGGTGAACCGGTTTCTTGTAAAGCGTTCAAAAGTCTGACTGAGGGTCTTCGTCTTGGTCTGACGGGGCTCCGAACTCATGGTGTAATGAAGACGGAAATTCTGTATCCTTTGTTTTGTGCTTCCGACAGTAGAGCAAACCAATTCAATAACTAAATTTCCCGCACACAGTCAGTTTGTTCTCTGTCCTGGTCGCCTGTGTGGTATTAATTTCTGTTTCTGTCTCACTTTGCAAACTCTCGTTACAAGAGTAACATTTATTTGATAAAAAGAGGCGGCCAAGTTAGCGCCGAAAAATGAATATGCATCATCAAATGCCTAATTTGTGTATCGCAGTATCCACGTCTCGGCTCTTAGTTACTGGTGATCAACCGTGTCACTTTTTACTTTTTTCCCTTCGGAAGACTGCTACGTATGAAAACCGCCGACTGGGGACTATCCTTACTCTACAGGAACGACTACTCTCAGTTCTGGCCTGTCGAGTACGTTGTCCTTTCTATCGATCGTTTTGGCCAAATTTGACGGTTTTTTTTGTCGTCCTTTTTACACAGTAAGCATGTATTTGGTTCTTGCTGCGTTTACTGTCCATTCTAACGTGTACCTTGTAAGAGTTTTACTGATGCTGCAGGGGCTTCTTGCTACCTCCGATTCTTAACTCGCTGTTCATCTTTTGTTTCGAGACATTTGACGGGTATTGCTTCATTAATTTCCCCTTCTCTTCACAGTACGTGTGTAACGTCGTAATTGATGCACCTTATAAAATCACCGGTCGATTCCTTGATCACTTCAAGGTGAGTTTTTGTTCGTTCGTTTGCCGCTGATTGGTTGATGTGTATTCTCTCTGATTTCTTTCTACCTGAGGCGGAAGTACTTTGTGTTGCAGTCCATTGCGCGCGTTCTCCCCTTGGCCTTGAACTCGTTCAACTGTGACTGTGTAATGCATGTTGGAGTTCGCACTTCCTCGCACTGAAACAGCCTAGCTTCGTCGGACGGACACACCCACACTTGTATTAATTGTCGTGGACATACTTTTATGGCTTTACCGAGTCAGATCAACCACAAAGCTAATGCTAGCCTGTTCGGTTGCTGGAATATTTGTTTTCATTAGTATACTTCTGGAAATATTGGTCGAAATTGGAGCACCGACGCCGCAAATGTGATATCTAGGCAGTTTCTCCCATAGTGTTCATATGCCTACTTACAACGAGTGGGGCTTGAGTCATCCGTGGACTTGTGGAGAGTGGTTGACTTCCTGCTCCCCGCGCGCGCGCGAGTGGGTATGCGTTGAGCCTAATTGTATGCCCATTTATTGTGTGCATTGTGAAGAGGGGGTCTCTTCGTGTTTGATACTTGCACGAACATGAATACAACTTGACCTGATGTGTTGAATGGAGTTCATAATCCTGGCGCGTGACGCAAGTGGTAGCCGCGTAAGCGAAAATGGTTGAGAAGTTTAACTGTACATGTTGTCGGCTCAGGTTGCAAGTGGGACAGGAATGGTCACGTGGTTTGAGTGTTTGTGGCGCGTGATCTGATGAGTGACCTCTACACATACTCTCCCCGTAGCTAAGGTGCTGATGAAATGGTAGGTGCTGCTCGTGATTGTGGGGTAAACAAGATAATAGACAGTCTATGTGGATGTACTGATAAAATTAGTTCCAGGGGTAAGTAGACAGGAAGGTAGTCGCTACAAATTATGAGTCCCGGATGTGCTCAAAATGATCTATTCTCTTTACTACGTCGCAGCGAAACCATGTATGCTCACATTTCATAAAAATACAGTGCTCATTGTGAGTCTTATAGAAACGAGTATGTGGTCCCCAAAAAAGTTGGACATAAAGCGCCATCTCCGAGATATCAAATGTATATTAGTCCGCTGGTAGTGGATTTACCATTTTAGCAGAGTCCAGACAGTGACATGTTACGTGAAGATCAATAGCAGTAGCAGAAGTTGTAAGAACCGCATACTTGTCGTACAGTGGTTGTAGCTGCCGCAGTTTCGTTCACCGATGATTTGGGGGGGGGTGGGTAGGTAGCTGCGTATTCAGGCGGGAACTGACAAATTGGTGCTTATGTACAGCACTGTCAACGAATTGTTAAGTGGGGGGATTGGGAAGGGAGCATTGAAAGCAATAGCTTGGATACGCGAACGCCGTTGGGGGCGCTACTGGACCATGTCTGACAATGTCTCTAGCCATTGATGTGGCCCGTCTCGGGGTCTCCATCCAGCAAGACAGCAGTGACCAGCGCAGCTGAGCTTGCTGGTACTGGCTTTCATACTTCGCTGCCAAGTCATTGTTTGACCGCCTCTGGCTCTCTTCCACCCTTCACGTGGTTGTATGAAAAGAGCCCTTCGAGGAAGTCGGTCGACTGGCATACGCAACACGCGGCCAAGCCAGCGCAACCTATGCAGTGTGATCA